CCGAATACAGCCACAGCGCTGTTTTGTGTCTCTGAGCAACATGACGGTGTTTCGTTCCTGAATGAATCAACCGTTTAAATGATTCGGTTCAATCGCAATGACTCACTTATTAACAGTGATTTGCTGCCACCTGCTGGCGGTTTTAATTTCAAATTTCGGCTTTTTCTTGATTTTCTTTTCTTTTTTTTTTCTTTTTTTCATGTTTTAAATCATTTCAAATATCAGTATTCAACGTTTTATGTTTAATATATCAAAACATTATTTATGCATTTGTAATTGCAGGTTAAATGCATTCATGTCTTGCATTAAACAAAATACATGTGTGTAAATACATCTAAATGCCACTTCAGATGCAGCTTCTGCGTTGATTTAATTTGCTTGGTAACAGCCCAAATGTCTTATTATTCTAATTCCCTGATTAAATGTAAGAATTTGACTCAAAAGATAATGGACACTTTTAGAAAAAATGGCTTTATAAAGGTAACAATGCCCATAAAATGCAAAAATCAGTTTAAACTTGTTGGAAAAGATTAATCTCTATCAGTATGAACTGACCACCACACAGAATATGAAGAATATTAAAAACATTAGGAGTCAGCTGTCTTCGACAGTCCTTAAGATATGAGCACAATAACACACTCAGCAAAATATCGTCTAATTATCGTTATCGATAAAATCCCAGAAAATATCGAGATATAATTTTTTGTCAATATCGCACACCCCTAGTCTCTGCAGGGGGATAGGATCTAGCGCCACACGTCTTTACATCTATTAAGGAATACTGAAAAGGCTGAAGACCTTTGTCCTGGAGATGTTATGATTAGTTTATCTATGATGCCTAAAGGTTTTTTTTTTTACTTTCAAACTCTATTTGGCAACAAAAATGTATAATATTCCTCACGCAGAGCCACCAAGATGAAAATCTGAAGTGCGCTTATGTTTTTGTTTTAGCTGCAGCTAGACTTGGGGACGGAGATGGCTCATCTCAAGATGAGCAGTACAGTTTGAAATATGCAAGGAAAAACACTGCTAAATAATCCCAAAGTCAACAATCTCGAAGGATAAACATATATATATATATATATATATATATATATATAATACAAATTATCTTTTAATTTCTAAACTATAATGCAAAAAACAACTTCATGGCAGGTAAGCTTTTTTCTTAATTCACCCACAACTGGCAGAAAATGACTTTTTGACTCTGTCTGCAAGTTATGCACACAAGGCTGGCTCCGGCAATATGGAAGTATCTGAGCACTTCAATGATGAGAGTAGTATTCGCCCACTGGCAAATCCTTTGGAGAGATGATGATGTGTATTGGTGAGGAAGCATTACCAGAGTATGTGTGTGTATATATATATGTGTGTGTAAAGGCTCCCCTGGGAGCTTGTGCTGTGGGTAGTTCCAGGAATAAAAGACGGTGGGTGTGACCCCAGGTCCCTCTATGCCCCAGCAGGAAGTTATGGAAAGAGGAGGGGGTTCTTATTACTGAGAGAGGGAACATCAAGGATTAGAGAGGAAAGCACAAAGTAGAGAGGAGAGCAGAGACAGAAAATCGAGTAGAAAACGCAAGAACAGGGAAGATGTGAAGAAGAGAGGGAATGATTTGAAGTGGAGGGGGAGAGGAAGAGAGAACCATCACAATCTGGGTCATGGCGTTCTCTCTCACTCAGTCGCTCCCAAGCCCCTGTGGCAACCAGTCCCCACCCCAGTGCAACGTGGGTAGAGTGGACGCCTGGGACTGCATAGCTCACCACGCACGCCCTTCTGTCCATCCCTCCTTCCCCAAAGAGTGTCATACTTTGGTACTCATATTTAGGAAGTATTGGCTGTAGAAATTCTATTGGAACCTAAGAATCCTCATCGTGTTTAGCACTTTAAGTGGGGGTACTGAAACTAAGTTGGGTGAAGAGGTACCTATAATCCACGATAAAAACCTACAGTGGGTACGGAAAGTATTCAGACCCCCTTAAATTTTTCACTCTTTGTTATATTGCAGCCATTTGCTAAAATCATTTAAGTTAATTTTTTTTCCTCATTAATGTACACACAGCACCCCATATTGACAGAAAAACACAGAATTGTTGACATTTTTGCAGATTTATTAAAAAAGAAAAACTGAAATATCACATGGTCCTAAGTATTCAGACCCTTTGCTCAGTATTTAGTAGAAGCACCCTTTTGATCTAATACAGCCATGATTCTTTTTGGGAAAGATGCAACAAGTTTTTCACACCTGGATTTGGGGATCCTCTGCCATTCCTCTAACAAAGAGTGAAAAATTTAAGGGGGTCTGAATACTTTCCGTACCCACTGTAAATGTTGGGGCAACTAGAGCAAAAAGACTAGTGCAATGCCAAATTGTTAAAAGTTGTCATCTTCTACTTCATTAGGTATTTCATGTTGGAATTGCAATAAGTATCAGAAAATGCAATTTACTGTGGATAATACCTTTAAAGGGATAGTTCACCCGAAAATGAAAATTTGATGTTTATCTGCTTACCCCCAGGGCATCCAAGATGTAGGTGACTTTGTTTCTTCAGTAGAA